TAATTATTTCCCGCGTTGTGGCATTGTCAGTAAGTCTTCATTTTTTCAGCCATTCTGTACATGGTAGCCGGCGAGAGCATATCAGGGGCCACCGTGGCATTTTGTCAGTAGTGAGTCTTCATTTTTTCAGTGCCGAGTTTGCGCGTGCGCCGCTGCGGCATACTGTCTGTTTTTTCCCGTTGTCAGCCAAGTATGTAGTCTCAGCTTTCGTACCATCAAATTGTAAGTAGGGAGTCTTCATTTTTTCGGTGCCGAGTTTGCGCCAACCTCTTCATAGCCATGTCTGTTATGCGAACGTCTTTGAGTGGGTGAAGAGTTCGAGTTACAATGCATCTGGCTACCCTGTCCTCATTTTGTAAGTAGTCACATCCGTTTTTCGCTGCCATACTGTACATGATTGCCGGCGAGTACATATTAGGGGCCACGTGGCATTTGGTCAGAGAGTCTTCATGATTGCAGTACCGAGTCTTATTTTTTCGGTGCCCAGTTTGCGCCAACCCCTTCATAGCCATATCGTCTGAAAGAGGGTGTCTTCATTTTTGGACATATTCCACTGCGTCCTTATTTTCAGTTTGTTCTGGGGATCACGCCCCATCAACAAATAATACATACGGAGTATTTCCTTTTCCTCCATCTCGGCCCGCTGTCATTCCACACTCAACACTCCCACCCTTGGTATGCAGGCTTACTCCTGCTGTGGAACCAACCAGCATCACCGCACATTTTTTACAGTAAACAGTAACCCGGAGGACGGGGGGGCCGACAGGCCCCCCACGTCCGGAGACCCTTGTATACTTGCAACATTAGCAGAGCTCTTCCAACAAGTTCTTTGATGCTACATCATATGCATAGACTATGCGTTTGTGTATTGTCTGCAAACTGTAGTTTTGACGGTCTGTTAGTGACTCTCCCCATCTCGCAAACATGCAAACATGCTCGCGCGTGTACAGCGGCTCATGGTCACGACACGAATGATGTCCGTACTGCCTGCACGTTCGAGCGACAACCTGAGCACAAGACTACCTGCCCCTGTCAGACTGCTGTATGGCACGTCGATCTTTGCATCTTGGCGCACAATCACAGCACCCGCCACGCCAGTGAGTCACGTTACGTCGACAGAACAACAACGAATACACCCCGAACGAGAGTAGCACGCGACCATTCTCCGCATAGCCTATCCTACCTGTCCTAGTTCTCCCTAACATGATGCTGTGACAGCAGTACACACCTCGAGCAACAGCACCCGCTGTTGCGCCATCTCCAGCTTGTGCGCAGCCCGCTGCTTGGCCAGCTGCGTTTCGCACGCAGCTTCCATCGCCGCCGTGCGGACTGTGAACTCCAATGCGAGGCTCTCGGCTAGACGTGCCCGCTTGGCCCCGCCAACACCGTCGTCGCGCAAGCGATCCTCGTCAACGAAAATGGCGGCGTGGTCCAACGACGATGACATCATGTCAAGCTGGCGGCGGCAGCGCCCACGCAGTGTTCTTCCATGACTCCTGTTCGAAAGGGAAACTTGCCCGAAATTGAAGGCAAAGGAGCCCGTAGCTGAGAGGATCGAGAGAAAAAGGGCCGGCGAAAGGCCTCGCGCCATCTTGACTGGCAATCCACGTACCAACACAGAAGTGATCCCACCCACTGCACGGATGTGCTACCGCTAGCCGCAGGACGTTGAGAATTCAGAAGGGGGGCACCTAGACAAGATTATTCAAATGTTCATTTTCGCGTCACCCCCTTTCCATGTCGGCAGCAATCTCGGTTGATGCTCGGCAACTCAGTGCTGCACAGCGCTGTGTCCCTCGCGGTCCTGCTCAGGCCGTGTGTCCCACCACACGGGCACTGCTACATCCTAATCTCATCCCCTGAACTTCTTTCGGTAATCTGCAAGGACAATGAATGCCTCCCGCAGCAGAGGGAAGCGAGATACCTCCCCCCCCCGGCGAGGCACCCTTGATCTGGTGAGAGAGCTGGCGCGGCTTCGGGATCGGGAGCCGACGAGGTTCCCGGCAGCTTACCTCGACCTCAAGGTGCGCCCCCGGATGTGTGCTGCTGCGAAGAGTGGTTGGGAAGAGTGCGTCTCGTAATCATGCGTCTAATACACTGCAGGTGTGTGTGACTTAGTGATGCGGAGATCTGATTTTTGAAAATCTGCAAAACATCTGGTACGATGTGCTGCTGTATCTATGTTACACATGACCTCCCGTCCCTACGATCGCGGCGGCGACCCAGTTGGGGCAACGCCACCACACATTTGCAACGCTCTTCACTCCGGCCAACGAATCGATGAAAGCAAGCGAAGAAGCCTCAGAGGTCGTAAGAATTACGCCATCGAGAGTTATGTAAGGCTTGCTTTCTGATCGATACTCAGCTTCCTGTTTGCAAGTGTCCAAGGATCAATCCGTTCGCTGTTCGACTGCAGCCAGGAGGTGGGGGTACGTGCCACGGCCGTTGGTTAGTTGTGCACTATTGTTTCCGCTTTCCGCCGCAAGCTAGGAACTATAAACGTTTCCTCCGCGCATGTTGCTGCGCTATGTCATAACTAGGAACCCGAAAGATTTTATAGTGTCCGTTGGTTTGGTGTTCATTGAACAAGTCTTCTACTTCTGTACCACCCGGACCTTTCGCCATCGTGTCACGCGACCCATGACACCTGACGGCACTTCGCTCTTGCTTCACTTGCAGACAGCAACAGGTCGTTGTGCTTGGATCGACTCCATCAAGAAGCAAGGGGCTGCATGGTCTGACTCCGTCCGCGACTACGAGAATCCCCCCACATGTATGTGGTCATGCCCTGTTACACCTCTCCTTGATACTCCCTACCGCTTTCGCTTCCCCCGCTACACCTCCGCGTGTACACAGGAAACGGTGCCGGACCTCGACCACCTCCTCAAGGTCTTTGCGCCGCCTGCCCGCACCCCCAGCTCCGCTTCCCCCTGGCCCGGAAGCGGCTCCTCCTCCTACGCTCAGCTCCGCAGCGGCGCCGCCTCCTCCCGCCGCTCGCCCACCGCAGTCCCGTCCTTCGGCTCCCCTCTTGCAGGAGGCATGAACGCCGCGGGGCTAGGCGAGTCTCTCCTGGATGTCTCCGGGATCTCGGGCATCGCCGACGACAACAACGACTTCAACTACAACGACTCCGATTTGTTCCTCGGCGGGGGCGGCGACAGCGGCGGCGGCGGCGGCGGCGGCGGCGGCTACGGAGGAGGCGTTACCGCCAGCGGTGCTAGCACTCACGGCCACCACCATCGCCTCGACCTAGACACTACCAGCGGCGGCAATAACGGCAGCGTCCTGGGAGGAGCAACATCGCCAAGGTGGCAGCAGCCCGGTCCTGGCCGGACAGCGGCGAGTGACGCACCGCTGATATCCCGAGCGGCGACTCTCCGCCCGGGCGGCCGGGGCGGAGAGGGCGTGACACCGGGGCGGCCAAGCTCGCCGATGACCGACTCGTTCTTGCTGCGAAACGGTGGTGGCAATAGCGGTGATGGTTCTGACGGCCTGGGTGTCGGTAGAAGCGGGACCTCGGCGAGAAGGGGGGGGGAGTTGGGCGCGTCGGGCGAGTGGGACGCGAAAGCGGGCGAGTCTGAGGGTGAGTTGAGAACGCGGACTGATTTTGAGTGATCGTGATCACGTGGTGTGTGTGATAAAAGGGCGCCGCCAATGGGTTCCATCTAACCCCAAGCAAGTCATCGTCATCTACATAACGCTGAGCAAGTAACTTCATAGGTGGCTTGCCCATAGGTAGGCTGCCGTGCTAGAACAACAAGAAGAGGACTAAGGGTCCCGTTTGAAGTGCGGTTTGCCGAGGCCTCTGCCGTGAGGTTTCTCGCAAGATACGAGGCTTGTTCAGCGCTTACTCCAGCCTGTCGTTTGGATTGGTGGGGTGGGCATTGCCCCTTTCGTACCGGAGAGGCGGGCAGGGAGGTCTCGGGTGTATGCCTGCGAACCAGGCGACTTTGTGAATAGCCCAGTCTTTTATCACTTTCGTGACTGCTAAGGGAGGAGCGACTATGCTCATGTTCAGCGGATACTAAACCCAGGAACTGGGCCATGAGAGTTCCTGGTGTTGGAATTTCTTTGCATGAAAGCGTGTGGTGTGTGCTCAGTACTGTAGCATAGATTGCGCCAATCGGCTTGCCAGAGTCTTTCACGGATATGTCAAAACCTTAGCCTGTACTTGTCCGCGAGGACCGACGGCGAGGAGGGGTTGGCACACGGAGAGGACCGGACGGGAGGGGTCGAGCCTCCCTACTACATGTACTGAGAGCAATGTGTGCGTGAGCGTGTATGTGACAAAGCATTGAGTTTTGTGAGTAATGTGCGTATTGTGTCTCACACAGATGACGAGATCCACCAGCTCATCGCGGAGGCTCAGCCCCTTTTTGCGGAGGCCGTCGCCGACCAGACGCCGGACGAGCAAGACGTGCGCTGCGTGTGCCTGCACCAACCGGTCCTTCTGCGCGGCAGCCAGGTGCGAAGTCGAACGACTCGCCTTCCAGGTAGCTCCTTGTGGAAGATCGGGGGGAGGGGGGCATGAAGACGAAACACGAAAGCAAAATCGAAAACCACAAATTCGACTCGAAACTTACAAGCACTCATCAAGGTGAATTTTGGGAAACGCCGTATGAACATTATCGGGAGAAGGAATTAAGGGGGCTGTGCTCATGGGAATGCCTGCCGTAGTCGCTAGACCATTGACCTCGCATCCCTATCATGCCGGGACGATGCGATATGTGTAGGGGGGAGGGAAGGTTAAGGTATCTGTTGAATGAAATAGAGCCAGTAGATGTAGCAGATGCTAAAAAGGTAAATCTTATAGGTATTTGTGTATTTATTGGGGGAATAATAGAGCCAGTAGATGTAGCAGATGCTAACAAGGTAAATCTTTTAGGTATTATGTATTTATTGGGGGAAGAATAGAGCCAGCAGATGTAGCAGATGCTGAAAAGGTTACCGTTTTTCCAACACGCACCCGTTATCAACTTCGCCAGGGGCGGTACCTGCAAGTCAGTAAGGAGGAGGAGGAGGTGGAGGGAGACGAAGAAGACTTCGACGATAACGCCTCCATAGTCACCGCGGTCACCGCCATCTCCGGAGATAAGGTCGGAGGCGGGACCGGAGGTGGCGGGCTCATCGCCGGGGAGCTCAAGACCCTGTTCCGAGTTAGTGCGGAAGGGACTGGCACGGGCGACCCTTCGGAGGTGGTCCATTTCGTTTCGGCCTCGCAGAGGGGCGACAGGGTGAGAGAAGGGTTGATAGAGTAGACAGGGTGAGAGAAGAGTTTATAGAGAGGTAGTCATGGCCTTGGCGAGGATACTAAGCTTGGTTTAGTTGGGGTTAGGAATAGGGATACGAAACCCCCTTTTTTTCTCTCTGTTTCATGGGTCGAACAGGCAGCAAACCCCTCACGAAGGCGGGGATGATGGAGTGGGGAGCGTACTAATGTAAACGCATGCCGCAGTCAATAGACCGCACCGTGACGGTACGTTGATGGGACGCTGCGTAGTAGCGACCACGGTTAAAGAGAGAGGGGTCGGGACAAGGCATAAAACACATCTTGTTTGTCTCTTCCACCGTGCTACTCTTCCACCGTGCTACGAAATATAGTTTATGTGATGTGTGTTTCTCGTAGCCGGGATAACCCGCGTTGCTCTCCGTACGTTTCACTCACGTGGTCTCTCTTGAATTGTACGTAGCCGCTACCGCTGTTTGTGAAGTTGATGGGTTGTGGCTGCTGTGTCGACGGACGGCGTGATCGTCCTTGCATCTCCTTCACCCGCAGCAGCGGGTGGCACCGAGCGACGACAGGCCCGCCTCCGCGGTGCCATTGATCAGCTTCCTGGCGTCCTTATTCATGGTCAATCGTTCCCGGCTATGTCTTCCCCCTTATCACGGCGATACCAGGGCCCCGTTGTCTATGGCCAGTCCGTGTGCATCAAGTCGGTGCACGGGAAGGGGAAGTACCTGCGGGTTTCCTCATCGGGGGCGCTGGCGTTTGCTAGGTGAGACCCCCCCCCCCCCCCCCC